ACCACAAATTTACTCTCTAAAGTATTACCTTCTCATAGCTTTCTCCACTCGAAAAGAAAAAAACAAACTAATATACCTGGAGATCTTCATTTTCTTAATGTACCTCTTTGGAACCCCAAATTAATTATCTCTTCATACGCTGTGTTTAAATTTAACTACATTTTTCTAAAGAAGCATTATGTCAGAATTTCCTAGGTTTGCTGAATCAAGATGCAATGGAAGTATCTCTGGATAAGAAAAGATTGGCAGGTTGAGGACAGTGTTGGTATCTCAGATAAATGTCTCCATTTGTGGTGGCTTAAAGTGAATCTGCTTTGAAGGGTCAGAGCCCTTCATATTAGGAGCAATCAAGCAGAGAAAGAGATATCAAGGCCTTGATAATTTGCCAGATGACTTAATCCATAACCAATAATTTTAAAAAAATTGATCTCTTTTTTTTTCTGTGTGGTGAAGTGATCTTTCTGTAAGTCAACCAAAATCAAGTACTGAAAGACTATATTTTAGTTTTCTTTTAGAATCTGCTTGTCACAGAAAAGCAATTTGATTTATTTAAGTCCTTTCAACTGCCAGTAGCAAAACTATGCCCTTTAGGAAGAAGACCCATTTTGATATTTTGGAAAATCCAGAGAGCCTGCCAGGCCTGTAAATATTTGAATACTATCAATGTCTGGTGCTGGGAAGAAGGAAGCTGTATTCCGTTATTACTCCATTTTTAGACTGCCCGTGGCTATAGCAACCACGTGCTGCCAGCTGACCCCATGGTGGCCACACTTGCTGCTTTCACTAAATTGCCACTGGGAGCACGCGGCTTCTTAGATTCATTCAGTTGCATTAGATTATGGGCATTTCTGAAGGAATACAAAATGAAAGCAACGGCTTGTTCTGATCCAGGGAGGAAGCTTTGCTACTGGTGCCGATTCTAAGAAACAAAGGAAGGAGATTTGTGGATACCTAAGGCAGGCGGATCACATATGCTTACCTCTACTCCTTCCCAAAACTTCTTTCTATAAGAGTGAAAGAATAAAAGGCATATGATTTTAGGCTTCTTTTCAAAGACAAGAGAGCAGGAGATGTAATGAAAGCAGGCCAGATTGTCAACAGAATTTAGGAGGCTGGAGAATAGAGGGATGAGTCATCACTGCTTTAGCAGAGATGCTGAAATCAACCTATCTATTGGGGGTGGAGAGAATGACAATAATAAGTGAGCTGATTCATGCCATGGAGCTTCAGAGGCACAGCGATGGTGGGGATTAGACTCCTCAGAGTGATGTCCAGGATATGAGTGGAGCTGGGAACAGGAGGCCTGGTTGACTAAGCACTCACACCCCCGAATTGTACCCCAGACACCGAGTTAGATAACTACAGTGGAGAGGCAGGAAAGCAGTTGGTCACTGGGCTAAAAACAAGGATAAGAAATGGAAAACTGGATACCAAAGAGCCAGACTCCCTGCCCCACCAGCTCTCAGCCCTCAGCCAGGCTCCATGTGGATGATTCCTCTGAGGAAATAGGTGAGGTCCTGCTACTTTAAGGTACTGATACCTTAAAAAGCAATCTCATAGTATAATCAGACTTTTCAAAGCACATAAATATATTCATCATAAAAAAATAAGGAATACATTATCAAGATCAGGAAAGAACTATTTTGAATCTGTGCCCCAAACAGCATAGATGACATAAAGTAGTTTAAAGGCAAAGATTTTATCACGGACACCACCACCCTGCTGTTCAAATCCGATATCATGTTGTTGGACTCATCCTCATGTCTTGGAATTAGACATAGAGGGTCAAAGTGAGGCTTGAAAAAAAAAAGAAGAAGAAGAAATGTGTGAATAATGAGAGCTAGACATTCTGTCTGGGATTTACTAAGATGTAATAGAGCCAACCCTGCTCCCCCAGCCATTACCTCAATCCCCACCTTATATATTCCTGCCCACTTCAAGAAATTAAGAAAAGAGGGGCCATGGAGTCTGAGGGCAGAGCTAAAGAGAAAAACATGGCTGGAATCCAGAGTCTTGACCCCACTCAGAGGGAAGTGCACAGCTAGAGGAAGAGGATGATGTCTGTCCTCCCACAAGCCAAGAGAAGGAGCATATGAGTTTCCTATTCTTGCTGTATCAACCACTAAATTAGCTAAAGCAATATAGATTAATTATCTTACAGTTCAAGGAGTCAGAAATCTGAAATGGGTCTCACTAAACAAAAGTCAAGGTACTGGCCTTGTTCATTCCTTCCTGGGGAAACTGTTTGCCTTGCTTAGTGTCTAGAGGCTGCCTGCATTCCTAGGCTTGTAGCCTCTCTCCATCTTCAAAGCCAGCAGTGGCCAGCCAATTCTGTCTCACATTGTATCACTCTGACACTAACTCCCCTGCCTCCCTCCTTCACGCTTAAGGGTCCTTGTGATTACACTGAGCCCACCAGAAATCCAGGATAATCTCCTTATTTTAAGAACCTATTAGCAGCCTTGATTCTCCCTTGCCATGAAACAGAACATATTCAGAGGTCCTGGGGATTAGGACATGGATATCTTTGGGGGCATTGAGAAACATCCTTCTGCCTACCACAGGTCTCCCAGAAAGCCATCACTTCCCGAATGGAATATCCACGGAGACTAACACCTTGTCTGCCCCATGGGGTGGCGGGGTGGGGTGGAGATAAATGGCAACCTGCACTCTGTGGTTCAGGATGGAGAGTAGAGAGAATCTTATTTCCTGAAGAAGGCATCTGGACTTTAGGGATTCTTCAATGAGCCAGAAACCCTGGGAGAAGAGGGCAGAGACTGTGTGGTGTGACACTGTGATAAAAGTTGGGGGTGATGATGAAAGTGGTGGATCAAATCTCCAGTGCCAGGGAACTCATGCAGTGGGGAGACCTTCCAGCTCAGCACCTCCGCATTGGCTCACGCGTTTGCTCATGAGATCCAGCATCTTCCTTCTGCGCCAGGCGTAACAGGGAAGGTGGAACTGGCCAGGCCAGCTGTGATTGTCAGCAATGGTGCAACCACATTACCAAGGAAGGAAAAGAAAATGTCCCCTGTCTTTCCATCTCCTCCGACATCTCCCTAACTCCAGAGGGGCTGGAAAGGGAGGCACAGGTTCACTGAGAAATGCATCAGTCTCTGATCCCTATGCAGGATCTTCTGGCCTCAGGTTAATTGAAGCTGGGTTGGGTGAGGGATGAGGAAGTGGGAGCTTACAATTTTAAATAGGTCTGGACCAGACTTTGTAAAACTTTTTACTAAAATATAATAAGTTCATAGAAAATTTCACAAGTGAGAGCTGAATTTTCACACACAGAACACATCAGTATAACCAATATTCAGATCAGAAATTAAACATTATCATTCTCCCCAATATTCCCTTGTTCCCCTCCAGTCTTGAAGTCAGGTCCCCGAAAGAGTAACCAATATTTTTGAGTTTAAAAAACCATTCAGGTTTTTCCATATATTGGTTGGTCATTTCTTATCATCAGAGAGTATTCTATTGAATGAATAGACCACAATTTATTCTGTGGTTTACGTGCATAAGAGTAACTTTCAGTTTCAGCAAATCAAAACTAGTGCTAAAATGTGTATTCTAATGTGTATTTTAGTGAAAGCATGTTTTATTTTTGTTTTTCTTTCAATGGACGTGAACTCAGGAGTGGAATGTTTGGGTCGTATTTTCAGTTTGGGAATTTGTTATCAAACGATTTTCCAAAAAGCAGTAAGTCCTGCTTCACATTTTCATTTTATACTTGATAAAAAAAAATTCATTTTAGTTACTATACTGAGTTTGTAATAATTTCTCAACAGTTTTAGCTGCCTTTTTAATGCTGAATAAAGTTAATCAACTTTGTACATTTTTATTGGCCACTTGAATACCTTTTGAGAAGTCTCTTTTAATCTTGCTCTTATTGATTTATAGAGTTTCTATGTATTCTGGATATGAAGCCATGTGAGTACTATACATGTGTACAGTGAATATCTTCTACTTAGTGGGTCACCTTTCCATCCCCTTTTAATGGTCTCTCTTAATGAACAGTTTTGATTTTAATCGAGGCCAATTTATGGATATTTTAATTTCATGGTTAACATGCTTCTCATCCTCTGTAAGAAAACTCTGCCACTCCTAAGGTCGTGAGGTTGGGCTTCTTAGTAATTGAAAGCAACAGGAGCCCAGGGTTCCATGTAAAAGCCTCATTCACCTGAGTGTGACTGAGAGCAGGCACTGAAGACCTATTGGAGGTTACCATATTTTCACCATGCTCAGTTCAGACTGTTTGATAAACTATCTGTACAAACAAAATGTAGTTTTTACTTTTTTTCCTGGTTTAGTTTACCTCTATAACTTGCTCTTGAGTTGGGCAAGGAAAAAAACTTAAGAAAATCTGTTTCTTCTGGTTTTTACAATGCCTTCTAGATAAACAGTCAATCTTCTTCCTGCCTCCCTAACATACATCAACTGGAGTGTCCTTTGTCCCTCTGGGAAAGGAAGGAGGCTCTTAGGCCATTTCTTTGTGAACTTTCTGGCCTCTATAGCAGTGGACTCTTCCAAAGTCTACTGGTCACTGCCAACCCAGCTGGAATTGGCTGCAAAGGTGTGTAGTCAGAGGGCTCACGGTTGATCTTCTCGCAGTATGGCCAGCCACCGTGATCCTCTGTTCACTCAAACCACCTGAAACCCTGGCACAATGGCAACACCCTGATGCCTGATTATGGTGATCTACTGATTCCTGAGCCAAGTGCTCATCCTGCAGTCCTCGGCAGAGACCCGCTTTGACACCAGCACTATGACCCATAAGTCACTGCCCAGGACCACCAGCCATCTTTTGCATCCCCCCACAGGTCAGCTTGACAGTTTATGTACATAAGAGTAACTCTCACAAGTTCATCGATTCCACCACAATTGTCACCAAGAAATCAGGAAGAATTAGACCCAGAACTTCCCTCTGCCTCAGCAGGCCACGCCTTAGACCTCCCCAATTCAGTGCTAGGATCTCCTCCAAGAACTCAAAACACGAGTCAGGACAAGGCTGTGTGGCCTCCATCTTCCTCTCAGTCCATATAATACCACACTCCATTTCTGTGAGGAAGAAATGCACAATAGCAGGGGAATCAGGATATTTGTGGGAAAAATGTTTACAGAAATGATCACAATTATCCCCTTTCATGCTTCTTTGCAATGTAACATTGGAGTTCTTCCAAGTGAGAGGCGGGTTCTCCTACCCCTCCATTCTGGTTGGCTTGTGATGTGCCCAGACCAACGAAATGCATCAGAAGTGATGTCCTGTCCTTCTGCCTCTAGGCTTCAGAAGGTCCTGTGCATTTCAGTCCTCTCTCTTGGAACACTGCCACCAAGTACTTGCCCAGGACAGCTGGCTGGAGGAGGGCAGACACTGGAAAAGAGAGAGAGAGAGAGAGAGAGAGAGGCCCAGCTGAGGCCAGCCTAGACCAGCTGGCCACTGGTCCACCCAGGGGCTGATCCCAGAGACAAGAGAGAATCAAGACCCAACCCCCTTGGTGAGCGCACCTCAGTCAGTGGTCTGCAGAATCATGGGACAAGTAAGTGGTGGTTGTTTTACTACAGTAGATTTTGAAGTGGATTCTCAAATAGCCAAAGTTTATTCCTCCCCCACTTTCCTCTTCCTCCTTCCACACCTCACTGGTAAGCAAGGGCAGGCCACCTCAGCTCCCTTTCTGTCATGAATTGTGCATAAGCACATCAGCAGCCACCATTTGTCTTCTTGGGAACAGCAGGCCTCACAGTGCAGTCTGGATGGCAGAATCATTCTTGTCCCTTGACTATGGGAGACATTCTGTGACTTAAAGAGTTAGGCTTAGCTCATGATATGTTAATGAGGGCTAAAGGAATTTTAAAATTATTTTCTGTTTCTGTGAAGGTTGGCTTCTAAGGAACAATTTTATGGTGGCAGACTCAAAAATTCTCCTGTGTATATAAAAACTGACAGACTCCTCTTTCTCTTTGTATTCCTGCTTTAAAAATCCTAAATCCTCTGAGGGAAATAGATGCCTCCAGAAAAATAGGGGTAGAAGAAGGGAGGGTCACACAAAAACTGAACCAAGAGAATTTTGAAATCTGTTTTAAAACATTTTCTTCCCAGCATATCTGAACTGTATCTTCTTAACATATGTGGGGCAATCAGGCACAGATTCCTCATTTTTGGAGGGGAGCATTAGGATTCATGATATGTGCATCTAAACTGAACACTGGGTGATTTTTTGGTACTTACTATGTAACCCATTAGAGCTGCCATGCAAGAGTAAATAGATCCTAGACTCCATCAACCACGAGACTCCGGAACAAACCCTAAGACCTTGCCCGTCATGATCTTAGAAAACCAGGTTTCAGTTCCATGTTTTTTTAAAAAAAATTTATGTGACTCTAAATTTAATTTAAATCTCTCTGTGTCTTTATATTTCAAATGTATTTTTTCAAAGATGGTGTCCTACAGAACAAAGGGAGAGGAAAAGACTAGTAGATTCATTGTATATCTTTGCTGGTATTGGAGAACTAAGCCACCTGCACTTGGGGTTTCAGTAAGTTGAGGAAGGGATTGTACTCCGAAATATGCAACAAAACAATCATCAGTTTCTAAGCACTGTGGAGACACAGTAGGCCAAGACAAGGCACCCGTTCTCAGAACTTTCCACCCAGTGAAAAGGCAGAATTAAGGAAGATAAAATGATAAAAGGATAATAATGAGACTCTGATTATAAGTTATAATATTATACATTCTGAAAAGGGAGAAATCAGAATGGTCTTTGGAAAATAATTTATAGAAGGGTTAAGAGTTGAGGTTGGCTATAAAGAATGAAGAGTATTTAGAGAAATAAAGTCAAGGGACAGGCAAGGCAGTAGGGATGGATTTGAGTGTAGGGGGCAGTGACGCGATACATCCGCCTTCATTCATTTAAATGTTTAGGGACCATCTCTTGGATGGTTCACTCTGGAGCTACAGTTATGGGCCACGGCTGCCAATCATTCACCTCATGGCAACAGAGGCTGCCATGTTTCACCCTCGGTAACGACATGGAAGGGATAGAGTGACAATTAGGACAAGTCACAATAAAGACTATGAAGCTACTATAATTTTGTTGTTGTCAAATATAATATACTCTGGACATTCATGTGTTCACTTGAAAATTAGACCTACTTTATCATTTTTTTCCATCTTAGTATCACTGTTATACACATCTATAGTGGTGAAAAGTACATAATGAGTAAATATTCAATAAAAGAATTAACTGAACCCAAACAAAATTCAACATAGAACTCTTCCATAGTTCCCATGGCTTGTTATTTCATCTGAATTTATTGTAGTTTTAGAAAAAGAGCAAAGGCCATTCATAAAAGAAAATATTCAGACAAAAGTGTTTATTTAAAAAATCTAAAATTCTATAAACAGGAGACAATCATGCTCACACTTTGCTCTGTAGCCTTCTAGTTCCCTATGTATGTACAGTGTATATCATGGATGCACATGTGTGTACACACAACAGTAGAGTTTGTTGTCAGTTGGTCAAATCCATAGCTCTGGGCACAGACTTGTTTGATATGAACATAGCCATTTCAGCTATTTCATGAATATTTTATATGCAAACATCAATTGCCAGCCATTTAATTTCTCTGTATCTTTATATTTCAAGTATATTTTTTCAAAGATGGTGTTGTATAGTTTTCTAGTCTGATCTTGAGGTCCCCCTCGCAGCCCTGCCTGGACAGCCCTGTTGGGACAGGACCTGGTCATGGATGTTCACAGTGCTTTTCTCAGGATATTTCTACATCCCAGCAGACAGCCGAATGCTGAAGTATGTGACCCAGGGCGACATGTCCTTCCTACAGGGAAGTTGTAAATACTGGAAGACACTCTGTGGTTCTTGCCTGAGCTGTGTCCAGTTTATTCCTGCTCTGATATCCACTTTTTAGAACCCTGACTGAGAAATAAGTTAAGTCCCGATGTCTCAGTCGGGTGAGACAGAGGAGGCAGTTCACCAAGGTACATGAAATTCTGAGAGCAGTTGATTACTTAGCGATTCCAAGCAGAGATAGTGAGCCCCACAGGAAGGGAGGAGCCATGCATTCAGCCAGCAGGTGGGAACAAGAGAAAGGTCAAGGGTGCTGCAGTCTGGCTGGGCAAAATAACCGGGGGGTGACAAGCAACTTGTGAAGGTTGATACAGGGGGAGCCCCTTTATTGTAGGACAGTAGGGGTATATATATATACAACTGAATGTTTCAATTAACATCATCCAGATACACCAATCAGTCTTCAAGGAATCCTCATCATCTTAATTATTACACACAGCTTAACTTAATTAGCATCATCCAGCTACAGCAGTCCATCGTTAAGGAATCTCCATCATCTTAATGGCTCTCTGGCGTTTGCTCAGAAACCACTCCTCCTAGCATACTGCCAGGCGCCACCTTAACTTGTTTACGGCCCCTAACACAAGGGCCCTGTGGCCGGGTCCACGGGTTCTAACTCATGGGCTTGGAGTGAGCTGGCTCAGGTTCCCCTGGAGTGAGCACTGTGGTAAACTGTGCAATCTGCACAGGGTATGGGGACGTGGGACAGGTCAAATAGGTTGAATCCAGTTGTCCTGTAGGCTGGTGGCCACCAGGAGGGAAGACGGACCACACTGAGGAATGGGCAGAAGGCAGAGAACTAGGCACTGTGTTGGGGTAACTGAGTGTCACTTATAGATGAGAAAGACCAACTTCTCAAAATGGATGCCATGCCACTGTGACATATGATTATAAGAATGAAGACTATAAATAGTGTGTGTGTGTGTGTGTGTGTGTGTGTGTGTATACTTTTTATTTTGCCTGACAGCCTCTGCCTTTTAAATAGAACAAATGGGTTAATGAAAATACTAATATTGTTTTACTTAATTCTAACACAAGCTTTTTGTTTTCTATTAGTTAATGTATTTTTCACTTATATTATTCTGTTACTCTTTTCTTGTGAGTTATTCAATTTTTAAATTCCTTTTAATTTTTAATGGATTTTTAACAATAACTTTATAGTGATTTCTCCAAGAATTAAAATAAACATTTTTAATTTATTATATTCTACTTATAATTAATCTTAACACCTCAAATCAAACACAAAATCCTTGCAGCAATATAATTAATTTCAGTTACTTCAACATAATTTAGGCTGTTTTTTCATTATATTTCAGCATTTGCTATAAACTTCAAACACAATGTTATATTTTTTACAACCCTGTTTCATTTCAGAAAAAAAAATAAGAATAATATTCTTTTATGATTTGTGCACTTTATTTCTTTCTGTGTATCTGAGTTTCCATTTGGGGTCTCTTCTAGTCCGCCTAAACAACTTTCTTTAGCATTTCTTGTAAATCTGTGTGTTGGTCATGAATTCTCTCTATCTCTGTTTATCTGAAGATGTCTTAATTGACAATCATTAATCAGCCAGACCATTGCTGGATCTCAAATTCTGGGTTTATACCTGTTGACTTCTGGCTGTCCTGGTAGTTATGGGCTATCACACTCTTACATTGTTCTCTTTATAGAGATCCTTTTATTTCTATTAATGTTTTTAAACCTTTCTCTTTATTGCTTGACCTCAGCAATATGACTCTGATTTGCCCAAGTGTGGTTTCTCTTGTATTCATCCTGCTTGGGGGGTTCTGAGATTCTTGAATGTGCACTTTAAATTTTTTCATAAAATTTATGTTCAGTCACTATCATTTTAATTTCTTTTCTACTCCATTTTCTCCCCTCTACTATGGGGGCTCCAATTACATATAAACTATACCTCTTTCTATCTTATATGTCAATTGTCTGTCAATTAAAAAAAAAACAAAAATGTTGTCTCTTCATTTGGATAACTTATATGCTTGATTATTAACTGACTTTTTTTTTTCAAACTTCAATGTAAATTTTTTGCATCAAGTGAATCTTTCATATAAGATATGGTACTTTTCAATTTCATAATTTTCATTGAGTTCTTTTCTATAATTTCCATTTCTTTAAAAAAGATGATTCATGTTCATTCATTCTGTCCATCTTCCTTTAAATTTTTTGAAAACATTCATTATACCTACTTTAATGCTGTAATTCTTGTCTGCTAGTTTCAATATCTATTATATCTCAGGGTCTTTTTGTATTGACTGCCTTTTCACTTATTTTCCTGTTTTCTGTTCTGTTGAATATTTTTAGGTAATGCTTTATAAAGTGTTTTTGCATTGTGGATAATAGTTTGTAAAAAAAAATCTAGTTTTCTTATTTTTCTCTGAAAATTGATTTTTGCTCTAGCAGTAAATTAAATTACTGGCTGATCACCTTGGATTCATGGAAGCTTGATTTTCACTTAGCTAGTGCAGGTCTATTTTACCTTTCTTTTTAATCT